AAAAAAAAAAAAAAACAAAACAAGCAAGAAAGAAGCGACTCTTCCCGCGAAAAAGTCACAATTGAATTTATTTATTATTATGGTAAATCAATGCATCAAGATGTCAATCTGAGATCTTATTTCGGTTCGATATGTCCACTTTCAAGACTCACCTATCGAGGGATCATTTGACCCTAAAACGTAAAGTAACAAGACCAGAACCCTGTGTGGACTATGAACCAACAAAAAAAAGAATGCCTTTGAACTCTTGTTCGAGTTCTTCCTTGATGACCAAGAGAAAAGAGGGAGGGAGGGAGGGGGGGGGGGGGGGAAACATTAGTATCAAATGCCTTTGCATTTCATCTTCCTTGATTTCTGGAATGGGAAGCTCTCTGATCTTTCCTTCAAGTTCGAGTTTCTATTGGTGGCTCAAGCCCATATGCGTGATTATATCCAGCAGTAAAATGAAGCCTAGAAAGTAAGAATTATACCTTGAGACTTTGTGATTCAGAGCAAGTGAGAGAACCACCAGACTTGCCAAAGTGTTCAACTTGATCCTGTAGGAAACCCATTGAAAAAACAATGGTTTAACAGGTGAGGACATACTCGATGAAAATTTTATTCGGAAAAAGTGAAAGCCATGGGACAAATCTCCATCAAGAAGAAATTCTATAAGAACCAGCTGCAAAATTCTAATAAACATTTCAAGGGCATGCTAAAGAAATTGGACCACCCACAGAATATATATGTACACCTTAAATTTGAAGGGATGGAAATTTAACAGATGCTGGCATTATAGTTAGCATAATAACCAAGGGAAGAATAAGTCCCGAAAGCCAACTAAGAGAACAAGTGGCACGAAATTAAAATAATGGCCGCAGCCCCACGTGAAAAATTCAACTTAGCATCAAGCCCCCACAAGTTTTTATAATAATGTTTCAACCCTCGATTTACAAATTTGCCGACCTTCAATGTCATCTTTTTAAGTAACACCAATGCTCACCATCACTTCCACTATCCATTCACTAACCCCACGCTCTCTTACTAGTGTGTACACACACACACACGCACACACTGTGTAATGTATTTTTCTTTTCCTTATACATCAGAAACAAAAAAATAAGATGGAGAGGTACATGTGAACTGTGACGTTACAACACCCTTGTTATTGGGTAATGGGTATAGATGTTACAATGGCAGCTGTGGGAACAGTTAAATGTATTGATTCAGTGTATTATATCGATAGTACCCTATTTGAAACTGATGGTTTTGTCTACAGTTCCAGAATGACTAAATAGAAAAAAACTCAAACAATAAAGCAAAATATTACTAGTACCAAAATTAATAACAGTAATAGTTGGATAAGATGTAATTAAGGGAAAAGAAAGAAGGTGAATGAATTTTATGTTAGAAACGAAGTCTAGAATTAGATGTGAGTTGTACATTCTTTTAATGATAGTCATACTTTGTTATAGCACTTGTGAGACAGCATAGAAAACCACCCTAAAATGCACTCAAGTTGATAGGCAATATTTGGTTAAGTGGCCTCCAATATGTTTTTGCATGCTATTGCACCATGTTTGATTACAGTTTCTGATATTCAAAACCGGACTTAGAATGTGGAAAGTGTAATGTACGACGTAATATTTTGAAAAAATGACATTTAACCAGGAACTGGATTAGTCCCTTGGGGATGCATGTGTGCATGTGCAGTTCGTGATCATGAACTACTGTAAAGGTTTTGAACTCTTATTTTATGTAATGCCAAGTATAGTTGGTGGAGAGAGTTTGCCACTTACTGCTGTCCAGCTCATCAAATTTTTACAAATTGTGAAGATTAGCAGTCAAAGCATACTTTGACATAAGCAAGTAAAGAAGTAACAGACTTAAAGTTGTTTAGCAACCTTCCAATGCAAAGGATGTTCACGTTTAGTGGATGTATGGATAATTGGGGTATAAGCATGCTTTGTTGATTATTATAGCCGGTCGATTTATTTTTTATATGTGATTCAGATTTATACGAATGTTGGAACCTTGCATGCCTTCGAAGTTTGGGCTTGCAGCAGTTGTTGTGCTCCTGGGCCTGCACGGCCGAGTTTGGAATCTCAACTAGTTAAGTCCCGAAACCCAACTCAGAAAGCATATGATGCAAATTAACATAATAGGTAGAACATGATCTAATTAAATCGCCAGGAGTGCATTAACACGTGGATTATAATATGCTCTTGTCATAACTAAGCAGCTACTACATCAGTTTTCACTAAGGCATCTAACCCATAAAGAAAAAGCTGCATAGAGTACTTGGGCGAAATCAACAATGTTAATTGGAATCGTAATCAGTGTTGCATGGTAATGGTGGTGTTTAAGTTGCAGAAACATAAATTTCCAGTTGTACAAACCTGCAGGAATTTGGGCATTTTCACTCTTTTCCCCTGAGCTACGTTCAACAGATACAGCACACCAACATTTGCAAGATCCTGTTTCCATAATCATGTAAGGATAGCCGCTAGAGAGAATCCAGATAAAAAATACAATATTAACCATTAATCAGATTTATTTTGGGTCCCACTCCCTCAAGATCTAACCTACTATCTGAACCTACCCCATGATCCCTTGCCCATGTCGTGTGTTGGAATTTCATGAAAGCTGAGACACACAACTAATGAAGAGTTGACATTTGGAATAAATGAATACATTGTAAGCTCGGAAGCAAAAGGATCAACATTTTACGTTTATGTTTCCGGGGAGACCAAAACGAATTAGTTATTAAATCAAAACTCCAATGCTAGGAGGTGTTTCTAAATGTTTTGAGATATTTTGGTATGTTTCTGCTAATATTTCGAGGTATTTTGAGATAATTTTATATATTTTGATTTTTTACTAATGTTTCGCAATATTTTGGAAATAAATTGCCAAATTTGTTATTCTTTCAATTTTGCTTCCGAAATGGTTCCGTTTTCTAAGTGACCGAAACAAGATATTGAAACAAAATTTTGATCCTTGATTGGAAATCATCAATAGTCAATGATGACTTCACATGTCTAGGGAAGTTATCTGTCAATGAGGATCTAATTATTCCAAATACTTATCAATTAGCAATTAATGGCAGAAACCATCCCCTGATCATCTAAGTGCAACTCTTCTTTCGAGAATACATATATGGTTCTCTGTACATTTCACAAGCCATTTGTATGACTTAAAGGCCACAATAAAATGAAATTAATGTAATTGCCAATATGTCACACTAAAACACAGTTCATAATTTTAATTCTAGATAAAATATGGAAGTACGTCAACCTGTTTGTCTTCCAATGACATTATCTTGCCATCCTGCAAGTCAAGGGAAAATAGAGGAAAAATTAGGAAGCAATCAACTAGAAATAAAAGAGCACAAGTACTTGACCCACGAATTCAAAACGGTTATGATAAGAAATACAACTAAGCATGCTAAATTTCTATGCCAATTGCCAATAAGCATTCTAATGTATTGTCGTGATCATAATAAAAAATATTTTAATAATGCAATTAATAATTCATGTATTTTAAGCATCATGATGCCAAATCCATATCATGATGAAAAGGTCAATGCTCTCAAGTCTCAAAGTCAGAGGTTGCTTTCCACTAGACATCAGAGCAAGGTACCAAAAGCACCAGCCCCCAGTGGACAAAGTAATCTAACAACTAACATCACAAAACCCAGAAAATCTTATTAGCATGCAACAAACGGTTGCCCTCTTTTCATCATGTGTACAAGATACTAGATCTTATATAAAAACAGGTGCACTAATTGAGAATCCATGTAATTCAAGTTAGTTTGAATTGTTTTTTTTCCAAAATGTAATCCTACTTAAATGCATTGAGTTCTGCCAGAGCCACAGCAGGCAACAGTAAGTCATGTTGCTTGCCATTCATATGGTGCTGTCTCCACAGTTGGATAAGCAGATTTACACAATTATAAAGTTACCAAACTACCATCGAACTCTTGTTACTCTTCCATCTCAGAACTGCCAAAGAGCAGTCATCAAAATAGGACCCAGCAAAGGATAAAATCCGCCCAATGACTCCACACATAATTACCACATGAAGCTCCCAGACCAAGAAACCAACCAGGCCTTCTACCTTGCCAGCAAATCCAACTCAGAACAAGATACAGATCATGTGGTTCCAATTATCCAAGTCACCCACAATGGTCAAAAAAAATTACACCCTCCGACTCAACCTAAGATAGTCAATTTGCAATTCAATTCCATAATCATCCTGAGCATCAGTTTCAATAATTTAGCCTATAAAGAAGCAAACAAATTGGAAAGCATAGGAGATGTTGTGCAGACAAAACTTTCTGAATACACTTCTTAGCTTGGATAATAAAAATACACCCATATATAATCAAGAAAGTGCTTCTCTAAATTATTTCAGTCTTCAAACTCAAGCAGCAGCTCAGCAAATGTAATATTCTTAAAGATTTAATCATCCATTCTGATGAATTTACTTGACTTAACCATTTTGTTCTCTTGGTGCAAAATATGATTCTTTTTCTCTGTCCTCCTGTTCAAATAAAATCTTATTTTCCAATGAGGAAGTTTGTTAAAAAGACAAATTCAGACAAAATAGAGCTCACAAGAAACCTTATCTTAGAACAGCCTTTTATTTATGATGCAAATTTTGATGAATTTCACGAAATAAAACTCACCAAACCAGAAACTGTTGCCTGTAATGTATCCAAGTCATAGCCAATTTGAGAAAGACCAACACGAACATCAGCAACCTGTAATATCACTTTGAAAATTTTATTCATGATGTTTTTGGCCTGGGTTTGAATCAAACAAAATTTTCTTCTCTTTCCTTGTTTTCGGAAAGTTCAATCCATAATGTGATGGCTATTGGCCTACCTATAATTTTATAAAAAGATAACCAGAATTATGTTTTCTTAAACCTACTGTCTGGAAAGCAACTGCATTTGGAAAAGCTAAGCTCAAATTCCAAACGATGTACATCTAAAAACGGAACAGAATGAGAACTCAGTCTTGCAAATTTACATCATTCAGAATTAACTTCGACATCTCCAACTGTCCGTCTAACTTTCCATCCAAGTTCTCAATTCTCTGGGTCAAATGCTTCTTTGTCGCCTGATCAAAAGGAGACATTCAATAATAATCAGGAATATGCATAGAACTTCAAAATATTCATTAACCATCAGAACACCAAACCTTTGTATGTTTTAACCATTACGCTTCATTAAACATTGCAATTTGAAAACACGAAAAAACATATTTATCTAATATTACAGTAGAAAGTTGAATTCTCAACTTTAAAAGCACAACGGTTAAGATTGATACAATTTTTATCTAGTTTGATCCAATGATACAAAATTCGTTCCAAATTCCAACACACTCCGCAATAGCAGACAACCCTACTAATTTACACTTACCTCTCTCTTCTCTCTCCCCTACCCCTCATATGTTACTATAACGATTTGAGGGGTCATATTGGTAATTTGGAAAGATTTTTTAGGGTTTCGAGATGCCATAAAAAGGCCTCAAAGCTGCTACATGAAAATAAAACAGCCTACAAGATGTGAACTTTCTGGGTTTCAAATAGAGTTTGGCTCTCTATTTCTCTCTTCTTCTCCTTCCTTTCCCCCCTTCTTCCCTTCAAACTTACTCTACTTCATCCAGTTCCAATTCTTCTTACCTCTTATTCTCTACAATCTTCTTGGTCTATTATTTATTCGCTCATCTCTCTCTCTCATCCATTCTTCCACTTTGTTTCTCCCTTTATTCTCGTTGTGGATTCAAGGTCCCTAGAGAATGCTAGGGTTATCCACCATTTCTTTCTTCTTTTAAGCGTTCCTGCCCTTATCTCTCTTCTTCCTCTTCTCTTTTTTGTCATCTTTCCTACCCTATTCTATCAAGCACAAAAAAAAAATATACAAACTCTCAAAGTTCTGTCCCATAAGTGTTCATAATTTATGTAATAAGGGTGGGTCTTCCCCTTCAACGAATGTTATGTGAGATCACATACATCAAGAATTGAATGGATTCAGCATAAGGCTTTATTTGTTCATGGGTCCTTCATTAGCTTGCCATGTGTTTGATAAGATGATCAAGAGTCAGGTTACATCAGTACAGCTGTCCTGCCATACCCTAATTGGTTAGCAAATTCCATAAGTACCCTTCTTAATTCTTTAATTCCTTCAAATACCCTTATAAGGTACCAAATCAGATTGGAGTTTTTCAATTAGAGATTATGCTAAACTATCTCTCTCCATGTCAAACATCATGGCCATTCATGTGAAGATACCTCCTCGAATATGTCTTGAATATTTGATGATATTGTATTTTCACAAAAATTAGCTATATTAATTACCTGAGACCAGACAATCAAATAAACCATGCCATTCTCTGTTATCAAAATACTACTTCAAATATGTTATTTTCATTTTAGTACCACAATGATGTTCAAGGAGCCTCAATCTGGACTGGGCATATCCGAATTATTTATATTATCCAAAACAAGATTTACGGCCAAATATTTGCAGAATTTACTTAAGAAATGATTTTTGAATATTTTTTAGCAGATGTCAATACAATGATCTACTCTGATGCTTCCACACTTTCCCAAATGAAGCTAACAGAAGATGGGTTGACAATGTGTTCGAGCTCATAGCTCTCCTTCCAGCAGATAAATCTGAATGTGACCTCCAATAATTTCAAGAAATATACATGACCTACAACAGAAATAGGACCATCTATTCATATCAGCAAGGGTGAAATACGGGACATCATTGACTAAGGTCTGTTTTTGGTTTAGAGGGGTGAAGGCTGTTTACTTCCTAAGGTAACAAGCTTGCTTATGTTAATGATAAGCTCAAGGAACTTGAGCTCAACCGATGGTCAGACAAGACAAACTGTACTGACCTCATTCAAACACAATCAATACAAAACATGAAAAAATGAATCATAAGGGCTCTAATTTAATGCTGAAACAGAGAAAAAAATTATATTGGACATGAGAATATATGTTCATGAGTAATGGAATAACAGGTAACCTTGTGTGGTTCAAATCGACGGGAGAAGAGAGACAAAATGTATCATTCATAGGGATCATGATACAATGGGAATTAATAAGGTCGGGATAGCTATTAGTTAAAGTTGATATATATTTTCTTTGTTATCGGATCCTCTTCATATGCACAGCTATGACTGAAGAAATACCTCGGTTGGGAATAGTTACAAACAACATGCGATTGGAGAACAGAAACTTACAGCAACCACCTCGGATTGTTCTGAAATCATTCTAACAATCACTACAGAACATGAGAAAAAGGTGATGTCTGGCCATAATATGTGACCTAAATTTCCACACAAAAGGGTTTCATATGTGAAAAAAATTTCTCTATCGTTCTGATCTAATGCTTAAACAGAGCCATATTCTATTGGAATTTTTTTTGGGGAGAAAGAAGGGGGGGGGGGGGGGT